TCCCCAATTTATCCCTTGTCCATAATTTTCTGCACTTTTCCCTGATTTGCTTCCAAAGTGTTGCTACTTTTACCACAAATGAGAAATAAAATATGACAGAGCAGGTTTTCTTGTGTGTACGCACGGACGCCCATTTCTGCATCGATGAAGGTATACGCATAGGAAATTATGTGTATGACAGAAGGGTTATATTGTTTTTAATAACTGCATTAAATTAAATTATTATATGGAAATTAATTTCTTTCATTCAATTAATGCCCATTCCTAATTTATTCCAAATTTGGGAATCAGGGTTCATTGTATGTGTACGTTTTTCGGTTAAATGTTATAGATTATTAAATGAAGTAATCAGTCACTACTTGCCTTCTAAAATCTTTTTTGCCCCACCCTCTTTTACAATGACACACACACACACCACACACACACACACACACACACAGATTTTTCAGCCTGCCCCCACACTATTTAAAAGGGCTATAGCAATCTAGTTCTCATCCTGAGGAAACTGTGCCCTTGAGACACCCAGTGACAAGGATGATCTGCTTACTGAAAGCCTTCACCATAATGGAGGCAAGTCTAAAGGATATATGAAAAAACTCACCGTATGATATCCATAAAAAGAAGCACCTTTTAGAAACTCTCGAAATTGTTTACCCTGAGGATATTGCTGCCTTCCCTCTATTTTGATGAATGTCTCTCTTTGACACCATGTGTTTTCACATCTTCAGTCCCATCTTCCTTTCTCCCTCCCTCTCTCGGGTCTTTGAAATATTTTGATTCTTATTGTTTTCCATCTGGAACAGCCTCAGAGAGGCAGGCAGAGAAAGCAGCAACGGTGCTTTGGTGACAAGGAACTGACACATTCTTGGGAGGCCAGTTAGAGCAAGTTGTCTCAAGCTTCAGCTGTTACCTGAGCAAAGCCCAAGCGCTGTGAAGCCTGTGAGATGGAGCGGCTTTGTCCTCCCTGTTTCATCCTTGGTAGCTTCTCAGAAAGGTGGCTTATATTGAGGCGCATCTTCTGAATGGAGAGAGGGGTCTCCACAGGGCGTAGCCAAAAAAGTCAAGATGCATTTGCACTGATAAAACAAAGAGAGCCTCAGTCGCACTGTTGTGGCAGCACTTGACTTTTCTGACCATACCCTCTGGACATCCCTGGGGTAATTATACTGTAATCCAAAAGATTAAGTGGCAAAGAATAAATCTAGTCAGAAAGATAAAATAAATGTCTACAGATCCTGAAAATTTTAGTGCAGGAACTTACCAGCACATCCTATCTTCTCCCAGTAAGGGACTCTTTGGAAGAGGCACTTGGGACTGATGGAGATTTGCACCCGATGCAGGCTTGTGTTTTTCTTTCTGCTCACAGAATAACAGCGCAGCAGCTTGGCCACGCATATGGAAACCGTGGTACTTTAGGTGAACAATGAAAATTCTCTTTCTCTCTTTGCCACAGGGCATACATTGCAAGAGATTACATTGGAGCTGGCACTTTATTAAGGACAGTTCAAGTTCAAACTAGCCCACTCTGCTTCAGAACATTGAAAATTAAGTTGAAATTATACTCCTCCATCTCAAAATCTGGGATTTAGCCAAATCTGTTGCACATTCTGAATGAAAGAAACAAATGCTGGCTTCTTGAAATATCTTCCTGTCTTCTCCAGAAGGCTGACTTGTATATTATCACCCTGTTGTATAGTACACACTGTACAAGGCTGGCTGATAACTAGGAATTCATCATTAATCCTCCAAAATTGAGCAATCCCATCCTCTCAAAGCTCTGTCCTCACAACTTTATGAACTGCATTCATATGAATCTAAAACGAGAAATATAATACTGCAGAATTCTGAAGACGAGCAAAGGAATGACCACAACAGCCGTACATCAGAATGATAATTTCCCCTATTGAATTAAAGAGAATTCTTGGCTAAATCCAACATAATTTTCCATTATCCTAACTCAATAGAAGAGAATATATGTAACTCAGGGTTGAACTGTAGAGTTGTTGGTGCTCTCTGAGCTTGGTTGTTTGCTTGAAGACATTTCGTTACCCAAGTAGGTAACATCATCAGTGTCAATGTGGGGAGCAAACAACTGCAAGCAAACAACGAAGCTCAGAGAGCACCAATGACTCCACCATTATCTTAATCATTGGACAAGTCTTGTAAGGATCAGTTTAAGAATTTTTCAAAGGACAAAACTGTATCCTTTTTATTCTATGTACATAAATGAACTGGCAGGTATTGGGGGGGGAGAGGAAACAAGGCACAAAATTTAAAATGTGATTAACTTTTTCAAAACAATGTAAGGCATACACATCCATTCCTTTTCTAAAACCTACAATATTCATATAGAATTGGCTAGGTTCATACCACATAGTAATCTATGGTAAAATGGAATTACCCTACATTGTTATTCAACATACTGTGAAAATCCAGTCATTGATTTAGCACATAATATGAAACAAGCCATCATTTAACATGGTTTATTTGGGCGTAACATGTTGTGGGAACACAAATCTAGCATTCTGTTAATCAGATTTATTTAGGGTTTAATGCATTATATGCAGCCAACAGATGATATTCCAGATAAGGCTATGAAGATGGCTGTTTTCCTTAAAGATTAAATTCCTTTATAAGAGTGATTCCAAGCAATGCTTTAATATCTATAGTGCTTGATATCCAAACCTGTGCCTTTTAGATTATTTATTACAAACATTAATTCCTGATTGATTAATTATGTTCCCAGGCCTGGGGAAATTGTGTCTGTGGAACCCCTGTTATGTTTTTATTGTTATGGCTGTTTGTAGTTTGGGATCCTCCATTTTGTTTCATGCTTTTCAGTTTCAATTGTAGATTTGGATTTTTAAGTTGCCCAGAGTCTTGTGGAGTAGGTAGCTAATAAATAAATAACATTTAATAAACTAAAAAAACTTAAAAAATAAATACCCAACATTTTTATACTAAGGTATAATGCCAGGAAAACAAAAATAATTTAATATGCAGGCAGGAAGCTTATATAAAAACAATACATTTTGGAAATTGATGAGTCTCCCCCTAGGCTTAATTTGCCTGTCACTCATGGGGACAGTTCTTGGAGCATTTTGAGCTGCTGAAATTAGGTTTTTCAGCTTCTTCATTTATTTACATTAATTTTGTTCATTGTTTATGTGAACACAACAGAATCATCATTCTGTTTCATGTAAGATTACCTTTTTATTACAAACAACATAAACCACAGTTCTTAAAAATTAGATGTAAAAAGACTAGAGTGTTTAGCATTTAAAGTTTACCTAGTATTTAATATTTAAATATATTTTATAATTCAATTTAGCCAAAACTGAAAATCTCCAAATATGCTAGAAAAGAGATAATAGTTATAGTTTAGCACTTCTTAAAAGTTCCAGAGTGGGAAAAACTGGTTGGATGGACCATGAGTGTTTATAGCCTTGGTTAATTTTCAAGTTTAATGCTTGAAATTAAGAATATTCTTAGAGATTCCCTCTCTATCATAACTCAAAATAAGTCTTTCGGGCAATGATTGTTTTATCTTTGAAACCACATTCCTCTAGAAAAATCCACACAAAAGTCAGGTGAAGAAATGCCATTTTAAAAAAGTTATTTCTAATAATTGAGACTAATACTTTGCCCCTTTTATTCATTTTTCCACATAAATTACACAAACACTTTAGAAAATGATTACACAAAAGAGAAACCTTCTTATAAGTGCATAACTTAAAAACAAACCAAAGAATGCATTTCAGAAACTCACTAAAATATTTGTTTTTGATAAATTGGTTGTGTGCACCATCTCATTTTAAATATAAATGATGCATAGGTTAAAAAGTAACTTTAAAAAAAACCCTATATATTTTAGATATTTTGTATCATCTTGGAATTTACTGTAAGAAGTGCTTAAATTAATCACAAGCTTTTTCTCAATACAATAAAAAGAAAACTGTAAAATTACTGTCCAAGAAATGGAAAGAGAAGGAGGATGTTCTGTTTGGTTCCCATCCCGTTTTGTGGGGCTGACGTCTTGAGCAAAAGTAAATAAAATATTGAAGAATATCATCAACAATACCAAAATAATCTATCAAGTAAAACTGCATTACCCCTGCAAAATGCCACAGATGCCTCAGAGTTATTAAAATATAAGTTGATCAATGCAGAGTCTGTAGGTAGCTGTGAAACTGATTTCAGCCTTCACACGAGAGTTTATGAGGCAAGGTTTGCATTCCTCAGTAATTCTGGTATCAACATTCCTTCAGCAGAAAGAAAAGAAATAAATCAAGGAAAACCCAAAGAGTTCATCTTGGAAAAGACAAAAGGAAAAGGAGCGAGATTTTATTTATTTGTAAAATCTAAATGTCTTTTAAGAAAAGGGCTCCAGCAGGAGATGCAGGAGTTGTTAAAAAAAAAAGTTCTTATTCTTCATTCAGAACCGCAATTGTGTTTTTTCTTGAAATGATCAGCGCGAAATACTCACATGCAGTGGTGGGAAATACGTGAACAACCGGTTCTCGGTGTGGATGCCGCTTCCGGAAGTCCGTTCTGGGCCTGGGAAACAAAAAATTAGCTATCGGTTCTGCCGAAGTGGTGCGAACCGGCTGAATCCCACCACTGCTTACACGGGAGAACAAACTCCTGTGCTATCAGCAGATAAAATGATATAGCAGTTGTTTCTTGAAAGTGGCTCCAAGGAAGAACCTTGGGTTGTTTTCTCTCGGCAAGAGTTTTCGAAGGTTCCAGTATCACCCTTTTAAAGAAGGTGGTGATAGTGATGGTGATGACGGTGAAGAAGAAAGAAGGGAAGCGTTGCCTTTTATTAGAACTCCACTAGACCAGCAGTGTATGACCTCTGGGAGCCTTGGCTTGCAAGGGGACACTGTCTGGTTGCTGCCACTGGCTCATTCACAGGTAACCGTGTCTTCTACGGGTGATGCTGAATAAGGCCAGCCGCTCTGTAATACAAGAGTCCATGCATAGGCAAAGTTAAGATTTCACTCACAGGAAGAGGCCACAGAAGTAACGCTGGTGATCTTGGAAGAGTCATCTGACCATGGCTGAAGGTTCTGGAGGGCAAACAGGGAGGAATTGTGAACACAGATTGGGTCTGCTTGGATGGGCTGGTTGATGGTTTTCTGGAAGGCCTCTTGCTGGAGCTGCATGAGGATGCGGTTGGCTTGCTGCCGCTCTGCTTCCCGTTCTTCTGCAGTTTGCCGCCTGAGAGAAATGCACAGAGTATGTCATGTTTCAGCAGGAAAAGAGATCCCAGCTGAAAGCAGAAATGCCCCTTGTAAAAGTCGACTCCCATTCCATTTCATCACAACATCTTCCCATCTTTTGGAACATTCTTATGCTCAAGGATTTTTTCTTCCGTAACAGCCAAAATGAAAAGTCACATTTCAGGCAATCTGCTGCCCAGTTATATTAAACATATAACTGAGCACAGAGAATACATGGAATAATCAAAGGGGAAACCTCTTGAAAGACCTAGCCCTTCTGTGAAACCATATAAATCAATGACCATCTTAGTGGCAGTCAATGTTAACTATGGGTTGTCTGAAGCAGCACATTCTGTTCTACCCGCATCTGTCCATTAACTATTAATGTCATTGGCTGAATGCTAGATTTTAGGATTATGAGTGATCAGCTGTATATGTATGTGTGGTTGTGTGTCTCTGACTACTCTGTCCTTACACATTCGTATGAGTGGAAAATGTAAAAAAAACAAGCTACAGATTCTAAACATTGCTCCATCTACTGAATGTTTTGCTTCATATTTATAAAAAGAATGCCTCTTGTTTTAAAACTGCACCACCATTTCATAGAACAAGCATTTCAAATCTTCCTTCCTTTGAAAATTCATACGCTAATCTAGTCCACATCCACCACTCATAGCAACTCATATGCAGAAAAAACAGATTGGTGCAGTAGATAAAAGACAAGCATGCTGGGTACCAACCTGGCTTCCTGTGGTTTGGAAGTTTCAAAATTTAGCTATTGTTAAAATAAAGTCCTGTTTTGTTTTCTTTGCTATAGTTTAACACAAATCTGAGAGACAGACAAAGGCTGGTATAGGTAAAGGTGTACTAAACCTTTAAAGCTTTATACATCATTAAGAATACTTGGAATTTTGCATAAAAACAAACTGCTAAATGGAATTAATTTATTTTCAAATTTTTAAACTGATATTCTTCTTTGAAAATAAATTCTGTTTAATTTTTATACCACACAGTTCAAAACCAAAAAACTGTTTTTAGTAGCAGGAGTGGAAAATGAACAATAACAATAAATTGTGAATGTGTAGTATAGCTCACATTCTCTCTCATGGCACTTCAGGTTATAAACAGGCAACTAACTCTAGCATCTTGTTTTCTCTTTCTTAAAAACTTTCAGCACTGAAGCCCAAGTTTCATTAAGTTAGAAAAATAAGAAGAAATATGCCTTCTGAATGAAGATTCATGCCAGCAAAATACAGATCAAGTCACTTTTGTATGCTCTAGTTCAGGGGTAGGCAACCTTGGCTCTTTTATTACTCATGGACTTCAACTCCCAGAATTCCTGAGCCAGCAGAAATTCTGGGAGTTGAAGTCCACGAGTCATAAAAGAGCCAAAGTTGCCTATTCCTGCTCTAGTTGGATATGATATGAAATATCTATAAAACAAATGAAAGGCATTTCAAATTGCACACCAGAAATCAGCCCTGTATATTAGAGGGAAGTTGGTAGTGGTTTGGTCAAGAAAGAAACTGTGTTTAATGAAGGCTTGCTTTTTCCTAACTAGCCATGGAACTATAACTGTTGTTACTACTAGAAGTTCAGTTCAGTCTATCAAATATTCCCCACGAATGTAGTTTTGTATAGAAAAAAAATGCCCCCCTTTCCTAACAATTACATATTCCCTCTATATGCCGAAACATAATAATAGTTTATTGATCTGACAATCATCAGAAATTATCATCATTTCTGACAATTTGGCTGTAACAAATTACTTTGTTTCCAAGGGAGATTTTCTACATGGAAAGCTCAAGTGTATTCTCATATGAACCTGGGAATAAGTAGAAAAAGCAAGCACAACCATGTATAAAAGAATATGAAACATTTGCCAACAATGTGTGTTCACCACCATTCTATTTAAATAATATATTGGTGAAATCAAAAATTCCAAAATTCTGGTCCCATGCACAAATTTCAATGGAACTTATTTTCAATACATATATTGAGACCTGCATTACAAACTGAAGTTATGCAGGCTTACGTAGAAATAGGTTCCATAGAATTAAATGAGACTTCAGACTTAAGCTGTATGCACAAGAAGACCCTTACCAGATAAGGACAAAGGTTCACTGGTCCAGTATACTGTGGCTGATCAGATTTATCTGGCAAGTTTGGACACAGAACATGATGGCAATTACCCTCTTAAACTTTGCTATTTAAAAACAGTATGTACTATACATGCTGCCTTGAATTCTGAAAATGCTGTCTACCTATGAACACTGATAGCCACTAATAGACTTATCTACAATTGTATCTATCTCCAGTGAAAAACTTCCTTATTGGTGGCCACCATTATATTTGGTGGTAGCAAATAAATATATATAAAATATGTGCTTTGGAATACTTTTTAACATTTCATTCATTGCCTTCTAATACAGGTAGTCCTCAACTTATGACCACAATTGAGTCCAAAATGTATGTTGTTAAGTGAGAAATTTGTTAAATGAGTTTTGCCCCGTTTTAAGACTTTTCTTTCCACGTTTGTTAAGGGAATCACTGCAGTTATAAAATTAGTAACACGATTGTTAAGTGAATCTGGTTTCCCCCCACTGACTTTGCTTATTAGATGGTCGGAAAAGGGGATCACATGACCCTGGGACACTGCAACCATCATAAATGTGAGTCAGTTGTCAAGCATCTGAATGTAAATCACATGACCATGGGGATGCTACAATAGTCATTAGTGTGGAAAATGGTCATAAATCACTTTTTTCAATACCACTGTAACTTCAAACAGTCACTAAACAAACTGTTGTAAGTTGAGGACTACATGTATCACTACGTTCTAGGGCACAGGTGACAAACTCAATCGCGTCACATGACGTATCGTGACGTATTGCAACGTTTTTTGCCTTTGCGAAGCTGGGGTGGAGGTGGCCTGCGTGTGACGCACCCAGCCCAAGGGCCGCCAGTTTGACACCCCTGTTCTATGGTATTCCAGAGATCCAGTATCTACACTGACAATAGTATAACTTAGTAATAAGAGTATTTCTATCACAGGCATATTCAGTGAATACAATTTGGGATTTCTTTAAATAACAAAAAATGCAAACTTTTGGCAGTATATGTATATCATGATGCGTAATAACCACCTGATGTAAATTTTATGAAGTATCTCATAGTCATCAAACTATGATTATCAACAACCTACATCAACCATCTAAGGAGAAGAAAAATAGATTTGCAATAATAACATTGGAAGGTGGAAGTACTGGAAGGTGGCATCCTCTATAAACCAATTCTTTGAAACAGTCAAACTTCATTAGACTCTTGTTATTTTTGAATGCAGACAAGGTTGACTTAGAGTAATAGTGATGATCATGGAGACAATTAAAACCATGTTTCAAAGGATTTATGCTAGAGTTGTGCAGAACTAAATGAAGGCTGCACTATTATTGTCAAATGAAACACTTTCAATGAGACCTTAGCCAAACCAGTTTACTTGTGCCAACAGATTCCCAAGTATTATAATAAGGATAATAGGCTAAGTGGTCCCAGTGCTCCAGATGGGTTGAACTACACACCCCATCTTTACTCACTCTATGACCATTGGCTGTGGGTGAGAATACAGGTGGTGGGAACCAGACCAAAAGAGTCTATCATATTAATACAAGAGAATATTTGTCGCTAGGGATTGAACTGTGGGGTTCTGGGTGCTCTCTGAGCTTGGTTGTTGACATTTCATTACCCAAGTAGGTAACATCATGAAAGTCTACAATAAAACCATCAAGCTCAGAGGGCACCAAAGAACCCACAGAGTCCATTATGAACTAATGTTGGTGGCACTCAATTCACAAGAACATACAGAAACTCATGCCACTGTATGGCGCCCAAAGAGATACATAACACTTTCATCTATTTTGCTCCAAATAACTTCCCTTAATTCTAATTTATTTAAGGACTATGAAAATAATCAAAAGGAGCAAAGAAGTCTGTAAGATGATGGGGGGGGAGAGAAAAGAAAAGAAGGGACCAAGAAAAAAAACTGAAAGAGGCAAAAAAAGTAAACGGGTTTACAAGAAAACGGTCAGAATAGGAAGAAATATGAAAGGTGTTAGCAGTTCTCTTTCCAGCTCTGTAACTTAATATTATGGTCTGGCATGTGCCAGATCCTGCTTTTCTACCAGAAGAATGAACTGAGGTTCCTTTTCAGACAAGTAAGAAATTATTTGCATTCATCTCTCTCACTTCTTTCTTTCACAATCACTTTATCTTAAATCTGATTCATAAGGAATAGATACTGGATTTTAGAAATTATTTAAGTAGCAATCTTCAAACGGGAAAGGGAAGACTTCAGGCTTGTTGAGAGCTACTGTCATCAGATGTATCAAGTATTCTGCTTTGACAAGCTTAAAATAAAACTGTAGTATCTTAAAATAAATCCTACAATACTCTTAGCTGCCTTTTAAAAACAAAAATCCAGAAAAAATGTTATAGATTACCTGTTTATATTAATTATGTGCCATCAAATTGTTGTTGACTCTTAGTGACCATATAGTTCCTTAAAAATAAATACATTTGATATGTTATTTTAAAGCCTGAAAAGTTCACCAAATTTTATAAATTGTTCGTGTTCCTATCTGAAATGCTTTTGAGATTTTGGACAACAATGCCAAATCTCACAAAATTTCAGATGAGAATGTTAACATCAGGAAAGATTTGACTTTTCTCTCTCTTTCATACCATCATCTGTAGTTATCACCACAGTTATCACCACCCCCACCACCCCAATTTCCATAAAACATTTTTGCTTTGACTTAGGCTTAGAAATTTGAGAAGTGAAACAATACACAAAGAAGTGAATCAGCATGTCTACTTCTCCCAACATGCTGAGCTAGGCCAGAAACCAGTAATCCAGGGTTTATATTATGTATCAAAGCTGAAGCCAACAAGCTAACTAATAAGACCATTCTTAGAAAAGCATTCCATTGTCCAAATTTCTGG